AGAGAGAGAGAGAGAGAGAGAGAGAGAGAGAGAGAGAGAGAGAGAGAGAGAAATTTGTATTCATATCTACTAAAAATTATCATTATAGTTGACCACCAGAGGGGTCTAGTTTAGATATATAGCAACTGTGGTAAAGCCTACAACTTTTATCAAAGACTCTCTTCATAGTTGCTATTAGAACTTTCTGTTCTGGTTTTTGGGTTCTCAAAGAGCAGATTCTCTCACCCCACTCCCATTTCAGCTCTGATATCCTTGTATATTCCTACCACACAGTATCTGGCAGCACTTGAAACCCACACTCTCCATTCCCAGATTAAATACTCTAGTCCCTTTTATCTACAAATAGCCATCTGTTTGCTTGCTTGAGGAAGGCAGAGCAAACAGTTAGTTGCCTTTCTAAGTATGAAAACTACTTGCAATGCTCAGGTCAATGTTCGAAAACAATGTAGTAAAAAGAAAATCTGGATGGTGTCTATTTGTGAAGATCGAGATCCACGCTTAAGGTCCCCCAGATTAATAGAGTAATAGACTTGGTTGGTACACCATTTTTGCATAGGGTTAACACAACCTACATGACATATGACCCTTTGGAAACTATGAATACTTTCATTCTTCCTAATGACATTAGGATATACTCTTCTCTTACCCTCCTAAAGGAAGGTATTATTTATGTTTCCCCCCTTGATGATCAGGACATATGTTCTGAGTATTTATCTCCTAGACAAGATAGATTCACATTTATCTGTCTGCATTCTTTTTCCAAAAGGAAGCATTGTTTCAAGTTAACTCATAGCATATAGGATCTCATCAATACAGCACATCATCCAAAACCATCCTCAGCTTTCAGCTCAGATATTTTGGGCACAAACTATGGAGTGAAAATAGAGGTGTCTAAATGGAATACTCTTCCAATAACCTGAGGACACATTTTCAAATCATATAAGCTAGTACATCTATCAATTACAAAACATCATTGTGCCCTTTCAAAAAAGAAAACAAAAGCAATAAAAAAAGTCAGTACCATTTTACTTCTTTAACCACTGTCAAGACATTGATGTTAAATCTACCTTATAATATGCATCAGATTGTACTAGAAGGTGATATACGTGTGTGTGTGTGTGTGTGTGTGTGTGAACTTTTACATAAAATTTGCCAGTTAAATATCCCTGATTTGACTATTCAAGATGTTTAAAACACTCCAAGGTACAGAATTTTGAGCATAAAACATATTCCAAAGTCTCAGGTTTCAGGTGAGTTTAGGCTGTGCATCACGGATGCTTGATCTGTATATGATTTTCATTTACCTGAATTAATAAAATACCACAATTCTTTGGGAGCTTAAAACAACATGACTTCATTATCTTACAGTTCTGGAGGGGAGTTGTCTAAAGTAAGCTTCACGGACTGAGTTCCTTCTGGAGGCACCTGTGCCAAGGATGTTTCTCCCCTAACAGCTTTTCGTGCAGTAGCATGCTAGAAAGATGAAATAGACTTTGATGGGGGAAGAAACCCCTCCATTTTTGGTTTGGTTGAATACACAAAGGTGAAGAGCACTTTATAAAGAAATTTCAAAAGCTAACAAATGCAGAGTCCATGAGACAGGAAATAATTTCTAAGGTCAACTCAGCAATCTGAGAACTCATTATCTACTTACCTAACAAACACTGAGCCATTTTGAAGCCACGTCCCACGGGCTCATCAACACAGATGAGAAAGCAGAGTGGATGAATGCTCAATTCCAAAGCCAGGCATCTAGACTTGAATCCTAATTCTTCACTATCTATTTACATGGCTGAGTTTCCTTTTCATAGTCTATGGGTTTGGAGGACTGTGGAATTCAGTTCCAGATCTATCTCTATCTCTATCTCTATCTCTATCTCTGTCTCTGTCTCTGTCTCTGTCTCTGTCTCTGTCTCTATCTCTATCTCTATCTACCTATCTATATATATATATACATATATGTGTATAGATATAGATATAGATATAGATATAGATATAGATATAGATATAGATCACAAGATCTTTTTCCAGTTTCTGATGTGTTGCAAACTTTCAAATATGATAACTACCGGAAACAATGTTTTAAAACACTTAATCTTTAGTGACCAACATTATTTTCTGTCTTAGTGACACTCAAATGTCAGAATGTTAGCATCTTTCTGACACAGGGGATTTATTTCTAAATCTATCTCTAGATAAGAGTGGAGACAAGTCAAACAGATAGTCAGCATGGTATGACTTACACAATGTTGGCTGCCACTGCACAGCCTGAAACAGTGATCATGATGCCTGCTTGGATCTGGTAATCAGGATACAAGAGGCGCTCACAGGCAAGGTATACCAGCACACCGGTCACCACCCAGATGCAAAGGACAGACAGCAGGGCACCGAGGATCTCTGGGAGTCAAATTCACGGAAAGCAACATGAATACCACCTTCACATCCCCCATTCCGCACACAAGAATCATAGGCTTTTAGATTCCTCCTCCCCCACCACCCATGAAAATGGCTTCATATGGTTTTTTTCAGTGATTCATGAAGCAGAATGGATTCATGAATGGATTTGAGAACCGAGATGAGGCACTTTAGCATTGCATCCATAAAACACGAGCATCAAAATTCATTAGGTTCCCTATTACTGGGTAATTTTCAGCAAATTTTTAGAACATATTAATTGCTGCCTGCCCTCCCTGTTCTCCTTGGGGATTTTAATTTACACAGGTGCTAAAATGATGAAAACTTATTAGGGAGGGATGAAATAATGAGATCCGACGAGCAAAATGTGTTTAGAAACTCTTAATTTCAACATAAAACATTTACAACTTGCCAGCACTGGCACCTTTAGAGGAATAAGCTAGTAAAAAACGGAAGCATCAGAGTGTACTTTACGAAAATGGGTTTCATTTGCCAACCCGACATATTGTAAACACAGAGGCAGACTCAAGGGCTTCTTGGTGCTCCAAAACTGCTCTTTAAGAGCAATCGCGAGGAAAAGAAACATCAAAATGGAAACATTTGCATTAATATTTGAAGATAAGGGAGATCTCAATGGGCTTGTTTAAGAAAGAAAGCACTTTGGCGCACATGGGCACTCCTTACTACCTCACCTTGTTCTTTGACTCAACCTTGTAGATAGATTTAAAAAACCCACAAGGGTCTAGGGAGATCCTGTGAGCCACTGGTCAGGCAAATTCTAATACATTATTCTCTACTCCCTGCCCTGGTTTCATTCTTGTGCTGTAAGAAACACCAACGTAGGAAAGGAACGGGCTTGTTTGCCTTAACTTCCAGGCCACAATCTATCATGGAGGGAAGTCAAATCCAGAACTTAAGCAAGAATTTCAACAAGAAACCATAGAGGGATGCTGCTTGGTGGTTTATGTTTAGCTAGACTTCTTATGCAGCAGAAGATCACTAGCCTAAAGAGTGGTGCCACCCAAATTAGGCAGGGCCTGCCCAGAGCAATCAAGATTATCCTCCACAGACATGTCTACAGGTCAATCTGATTTGGGCAATCCCTTAGTTGGGAGTTTCTTCTCAAGTGACTGCAGGCTGTATCAAGACAATTAACACCAACTACGACACTCCCTTTACATTATTCTTATGTATTATAACCAGTTAAAGCAGAATTATCTACTATAACACACCATGAGGCTATTGCTTCTCTAACTTTGGTAACTTATATACAATCATCATTTTTTTGCTATATTCATATGCTACTTATCTCAGTCATTTCATATTTTTCTCACACGAACTCACTTATGCTTAGCTTCTTCCTAAACAAAATTATCCATAAATTTGCAAATTTGATGTTCTACTTTATGTTTCATGCATAATAGAATGTGTTTGAGGTTATTGTCCATGCAACACTCAAAACATCTGACAGACTATTCATGGAACTTTTTTACATAATAGGAAGTCCTGAGGTAGATATTTAGGACTTGACTACAAGTACCAGACCCATATCGTTTACCCGTGACTGCCTATGTGGCTTTATACAGTAAGGGTTTCTTAACTATAAGATAGACTTTTAAAATACAATATGAATACAAGTTGACATAGGTTGTGGCTTGAATTTTGTCCCTCAAAGATCTGTACATAGAAATGCTATTCATCAGCAATTCATATTGTCACCTTATTTGAAAATGGGGTGTTTCCACATGACTAGTTAAGATGCAGTCATTTTGGTACAAGGCATTCCTGTATTCAAATATGTCAGGTTTAGCTTATTCTATGGGGAAAAGTGGAAATAGATGTGCATAGAAAGAGAGAGTGCAGGACAATATAAAAATTAAAGCAGAAATATTTAAGCTTAAAAAAAAAGCAAAGACTGTCAGCAAATGACTACTAGCCGGTCTGAGAGAGATATGTGACAGGTTTTCACTGACAGATGTCAGAAGAACCCAACCTCATCCATGCCTTTATCACACACCTCTGCTTCTCTAGACCTCTAAGACACCCAATGTCTGTGAGCCCGTCCAGTTGGAACCATACTGTTAAAGCAACTCAGGGAAACTAATGGAACATTAGACAACCTCTCGAGAATTACTAATTAGTCAGATTGTGTAAGACTCCCTTTGCCAAATTAATGAGAATCAGCCTTTAAAAATTCTTCTTAGCTAGAAACAGAGACCACATCTAAATCGGGATATTCAAGTTTAGCATGTCCCACCCTATGCCCATGTTTAGAAATATATACAGAGAGAAGAGCTGGGACAATAAAGCCCTCATACCAAGTTCAAGGATCAATAGTCAGATACAAACATTGGTCAGGCTAAGTGGTACCATGGTTCTATATGGTTTCCAAGAAAACTAACAAGTAAGGCTGGCGATTGGCCAGATTGGGCTGTGGATTCACAGGACCCACCTATGTCTATGGAACTGTTTCACATGGTAGCCACCAATCCTGTGCAGGCATTTAGTTAGACATTAGATAAAATCAAAAATATTGTTATTAAGTCATCCTAGCCATATTTAAAGTTCTCAATATTTACATCATATTTACATCGTATTTCAAAATATTTTGCCTAATAGCAGAGAGTTTTTATTGAACATTCTTGGTCTTTTAGAATATTAGGGCTCATAGACTTCCATGACTAATGGCACAGAGCCTAAGCAAAGATGTAAAGTTCTGAGTCTAGCCTATCTTAAAAAGGGAACTTCCTAGTGAAACAAAACAGTTCTAATAGTAGCAGGAAGTGTTGGGTACATGTACAAATTTGTGTCGAAAAATGCAGAGTTCAACAAAACTCACACAGCTTCCAGGGGGACTTTGTTCAAGAACAAGAGTAAGAATTCTCTAAGCTCAATCCCAGAAACTTTCTGCCACTGTTTATTTCTCCCTGACTGTTGAAGGGAAGCCAAACCAAAATGCCTGCACTGATAAATTGCTTAGCACCAAGAACAGAGTTTCCTAGTCCTCTAACCTCAAAAACCTGTAGTTCACATTGTCAGTGAACGAGTTGTGGTTTGTGGCCACCGACATCTTTCCCTGTGCAGGCTGGCTGTGAGGATTACCTGCATGCTGCCACTCGCTCTCCTTCGCCTTGCCTCTTCAGCCCGTGTGAAGTCACAGAGTTGTAACTATATGAGTCCAAGACTGGCACTAAATATTCCAACAAAAATTCCTCCAACTGATATAAGAAGCCACAGAGATGGGAAATAGTGCAGCGGTATGTGTGTGTGTGTGTGTGTGTGTCTGTGTGTGTGTGTGTGTGTGTGTGTGTGTGTGTGTGACAGAGAGGGGGGTGAAGGGATATTGTAAACACCTATAGTAAGCCCTTTCCAGAGGCTGAACACTTCTCATGGCTCTGGCTACTTCCTGGCCAGGAGCAGACAGTCACTCAGTGAAAGAAGCTCTGAGAAGGACAAGAGTGAGTTTTATTCCCTCCCTTTCTTTCTTGCCATCATTTTTGTCTCCTTCCTTGCTATTGATGATGAAATGAACAAGGATTCAGCTGAGCTGTGCATTCACTGCATGGCTATCTTGGTGTATTTTCTGCTGCTATAACAAACTACTAGAGGGTAGGTCATTTATAATGAAAGGAGGCAGGGTTTTTTTCCTCACAGTTCTGGATCCTGGGAAGTACAAGACCCAAGGTTCTTGAAGTTGGCAAACATTCTATGTTGCATCATAGCATGATAGAAAAGCAAGCAAGTGTGTGAGGGAAGGGAAATAAATTATGCTGACTGCATCCTTCTTACCAGGATCCCACTCCCACAATAACAACATTGACCCACAAATGAGAGCACAAATTTCATGACTTAACAAAGTTCTATTTCAAGACCACCTGAAGAGTCCTTAAATTCCAACCTGAGATTCAAAGGCACCATTCAGATCTTAGGGATGACTATGCGTGTGGGTAAGGAAGCCCATATTTTATGCCTGACCCCCTATGAACAATCACTAAACCTTAGTACTCTCTTGGACATTAATTTGTAATGTGGCAGACGCTCTGCCTTCATCCTTTCTTGAAAGGATGTAGAGTAACCGAAAGAATCATCTCCAAGTTGTTACTACACAGAGACTCTGGGGACAGAGTGGCTGCTACCATGATACAGCTATTCCTGTTGTCCCGTGGGAGAAGGGATACTTACTTTAATCTTGCTGTCAGCTGAATTAATGTGGAGAGCTTGCATTCCCACATGGTTATTTTATCCTGAGCACCAGACTTGGAGCCTAGAGGGAATTATTCAACAAGGCTTTGCTCTTTACCTTCCTTTTTTTTTCCCAAGCTCTGTTTGACTCTGTGTCATTATGCATTCACTATTGCACAATCAGAGGACTTTACCTGCTCGATACCATCCAAATGTCAGCCGCTTGGAAGGAGGCCTTGATGACAACCACAAAGAAAAGAGACTGAGCAGGAAACCAGTCAGGTCAGTTAAGAGATGAGCAGCATCCGTGAGGACAGCCAGACTCCCGGCAACATGTCCACCTGTGAGATGCACAATATCACACGGGGTTAAAGGCTCGGAATGCAATTAGGAGTCATGTGCATATTAAACATAGTTCACTCATACAACTTGAGAAGAAAGAAAGATATTGAATTCAAATTAACCCACCTCTTTTTCCCAATTTGTAAAATAACTGAGACCCTAACAATAAATAAACTCAAACAAGTAAACATGAATGTTCGGGGAATCATTTCTGAGGCTGTGGACATACAGAGATAAGAATTATGAAGCATCTCAATTAGGCTAAGCAGAAAGCCTCAGGGATGAGCCTACAAGTACATATGGCTGTAGAGGCATTGGCTAGATTCACAGGGTCTCATAATCCAGTCTGTAGACTTGAACTTCTACCTGGAAAACAGCACTGCTATCTGGCTTATCAGCTTGTTACTTGTAATTTTACCATAGCCTTTAATGCTAACCTCTGTTGTGCTGAATTATACTACCTAGCTGCACTGGAGATCTGTCTTATAAGTAGTGGGAAAGCAGAGCAGAATGGAGAAATAGGGGCACTATCCAGTGGACATACCAAAGGCATGAACAATCTCATGAAGCATAGGATAGAGAAACACAGGCACACAGGGCCACCTGGATTTTCTGAGCATTGGTGAAGTTCCACCACCTTCCCTCTGTCTCTCCTTTGAAAACACCTCCAGCCTCCAGAAGAGAAATTAAAGAAGTGTTGTGTCCTTTCTTCCTGAACAGGGCTTGTTTGAGAGGCATAACCTCTATTGCTCTCCCTACCTCTTTCCAGCAAAGAGCGTGTGCTGACTGATGAGTCGTCCCTGCTCCTGTTTATTGCCTTGTGTACCACAAAACAGCAGAGACCGTCAGTCATCAGACCCTCCATCATCAGACTCACCTTGTCTCGCCTAATGATTAAAAAAAATTGCATAGATGGCTCATAATTGCAATAATCCCCACAGACCGGTGGCCCGAGCTGTACTTAATAACTGGTTTGTCAAAGTTTAATGGTCTGAAGCAAAGTAGTCTTCAGGCTTGTTACTGCGCTGTCCGTGCAAAAATCAGAATGATTCATTAGCCAAAAGGCAACATTTTGCTAACAAATCAGCTGTCCTTCCAATTATCCTTTAATGTTCCTCTATCTGCCAGACTCGGTCCTGATAATAAAGCTGTGTTAATAATGCATTATTTCTTGCCTGGAGAATGACTACATGCAGATAAGCAGCATGCTGCAATTTCAGCCATGAGTGATGAGAATTCTCTGTGCCGTGCTGAAATTGCCCACTAAGTTAAGGGAAGAAAAGTCTCGGAGAAATTCTTTAGCAGGCTCAGCTGGTGAGGAAGTAACTGAAAAAGGAGCTTGCTTTAGAAGAATCATGGTAATGTGGAGACCTGGGATCCCACAATCATTTCCCAACCATCAGAGCTGGTAATAAGAACTATCCAGAAAAGGGTAGGCACTGCTGAAGGATGCAGAGTACACTGTTTTCAAGAGGTAGCAAGTGCATTTGCTTCTGAAAGCATGGGGCATTATTGTCCATTAATTCAACTATCCAGCCAGCACTTATTGAGCCCTTGCTGTGCATGGTAGCATGAGCAAAGTACACAAAGATAAACAAATTACAACCCCTTTCTTCAGTGATCTCCCAACACTACACTGAAGACTTGCTACTGGAATGGGATCGGAGAACACTGTGGTATTCAGGAAGTTTTCAAAGAAGGACTGAGAGTTAGCAAGAAAGTGTGGGTTTTCATAATAAACAGAAACATGGAAAAAGAAATAAAAGAATGTGACACTTTGCGGTAAAAAAAAAAGAAGAAGATGGTGCATATCCAAGGATTTTGGAAAATGCAATTGAAAAGGAAGTTGAAGGCTAGCCCCCTGGCTAAGGAGATCTCCTTAGGATTTTCAGGCAATGCCAATGCATGCTTAAATTTGTGCTTGAGAGAGAGATCTTTGTCATCAATACACAGGCTTACTTGGAGAGACAAAATATTGATGGTGAAAAGCACATGGATCTGGAAGCCATTATATGATAAAACTCAAAGAGACAAATATCACATAATCTTTCTCACACATGGATCCTAGCTTTGAGTGTGTGTGCATGTGTGTGTGTGTGTGTGTGTAAATAAGTGTGTTTTTGTATAATTGTGCACAAGCTATGAAAGTAGAAATGAGATCATGAGATGAGAAAAAATGAATTGTTGAGGAAAGGGAAGGAAGAGAGTAATACAACACACAGCACAAGAAAGTTGATAGGAGAATATGGAGGTAGAAGGAAGCGGGAATGGGGAACAGAGGCAGGAACATAAAGGGAGAACAGTGGAATAAACAAAAAATAGTGTTTCAGAATATCATAATAAAACCTCATAGTTTGTATGCTAATTTTAAAAAAATCCTACACAGCAACAATTGCTGCAGAGATCTGTGGCGAATGCGTGAAGCAGTGTTGTCAGTTCTATTTCTAGCCATGGAAAGATTTGTGCAGAATTTGCTTATGGCAAGGCAGCACAGGCACAGAGAGGTCTCAGCCCAAAAACAGATCACATGGGCCCCGACAGCAGAATTTTAGATCTGCATCTCCTAGACATGAAACCCCTTGGATTTAAACAGTAGGCTTTAAATTCCCATGGCATTTTCCATGAAGGAAGAGATGTGTTGACAATGCTGAAAAAAAATAATGGTTAACCTGATGAAAATATCTTTTGTGGGGTTTAAGTGAGAATACCCCCATGGGTTCATATATTTAAGTGCTTGGTCCCCAGTGATGGAACTGTTTGTGAAGGATTAGGAGGTGTGACTTTGGTGGCAGAGGTGTGTCGCTGGGGGTAGGCTTTGAGATTTCAAAAGTCTACACCATTCCCAATTTCATCTCTCTGCCTTATACTTATGTCTCAGGATGTGAGCTCTCAGCTACTGCTCCACCATCGCCTGCTTGAATGCTGCCATGCTCTTTGCCATGATCTTTATGAATTCAAACTCTCTGAAACTGTCAGCTCCAGGAAAATTCATTCTACAAATTGCCTTGGTCATGGTGTCTTGTCACAGCAATAGAAAAGTAACCAAGACAGCCTTGTATCCACTACGGAGCTACACTATTATATGCCATTAATTCATATATAAGAATGACTTACCCTTTTTATGAGTGTCATTTTATTACATTGTATGATCTAATATGATTGCGATGTATCCAAACCTTCAGTTATTATTTAGCAAATATTTAAAATGTACCGTAGTTTTTGGGGTCTTGCTTTAAAATTTCCCAAGAGCAGGAACCACAAAAATTATCTCTGACCTGAATTGGGGTGACAGACACAGGAGGAGTTGGATGGGGAAATGGAGGGTCCACCATAATGCAGATTCAATGCTCATATATAAGGTTCTCAGAGAGTAAAGTTTTTAAACCAAAAATATCTATGACCCATGTCACTGAGGTGTCATAACTACAGAACAAAGCAAGTAAAAATCTAGTAATCAAACGTGAGAATCACGCATTACAGCTACATCCTTCTCTTAGTCAGAAATTCTCACTCTCAAATGTGTGTTTCTTTGGCCTTCTCCAGCTCTGCATCACTGTCTGGCAAAAATCATCTTTCCCCATCCTTATATAACACTGAACATAGTACCCCAGATGCCTCTCCCTGCCTACTCTCAATTGCTTCCAGCAATGACACACTTAAGCTTATTTTCCGAGTCCTCTGTGTCTTCATGTTATCTTTTCAAGTACAGTCGTGCATTTGTATCTACAATATAAGCCCCATTTTATGGCCTTTGCACAGTGAAGAATTTTTACAAGCCACAAAACAGTCCTACTTTGACAGCTCCAAAGGCCCAAGAGTGGGCACACTGTGCCTATCTCCTTCATTTCTCAGTCCCTCTACCACTCTGCTCGGCATACTGTGGCAGTCCTCTTCCCAAAATGTACCTCGGTGGCCCAATTCTCTCCTACTCTAAAGAGCAGTTATAAAGTAAGCTCTGCAAAAGAACCTAGTTCCCCAATTATCATTCCAGCTGGGTCTTCAGCAGACTCTCCTTTAGGGATTCTCCTTCAGGTCTAAGTCATAAAAGCTTAATCTAAATTAGATTAAACAACAGGCAGGTTTTAAGTTATTGGCTCCTGTGAGTGAATCTGGGGATAATTGAGCAGGTGTGTCCTAAGTCTAAGGATCAAAGATGTTACTAAAGCAGGTTGCTGAAGGCAGGTAGGATAGAGATGGGGACTGGAAGCTCCGGGACTGCATCATTCCACATTAATATTTTTAGAGTAAAGACACTAAGTTTTTATTCAGCCTCTTCATATAAAGGCAAGGGATACTTCAAGCATCGGGTCCTTAGGCCAAGAGGATAAGTCTTGTCATCACATTTTGGACAACAAAAGCAAACTGAACAGAAATGTCTGTCTCCTTTAAGCTGCTGTGCCTGTATCTCTGTAGGTATTATTCCTTGTCCTGTTTCAGATATAACAATAGAAATATCTGAAGGAAGAGCCTGATAGTAGTGACTTGTCAGACCACAGGTATAAATAATGAGTTGTTTGGTTTGGGTTTTGTTATTTTTATTTTTTTGATTTAACCATTTTTTAAAATTTAAATATAACTACATCACTTTCAGTGTTCTATCAAAAAGGACTTTCTTTTCATTTCTAAGGAATCTCTTAGTTCTTCCCTTGAGACATTCTTCAGAGTCCATGCCCCCAGAAAAGAACCTTTAGACTCCCCTAAGAGGTCTTGAGAATAATCATTCCTCTATTTGACTTCAGGGAATAAGTGTGATGTGGACTGAGAGCTTGAGTGATGGCCTAGGCTTTGATGAGAATGAAGACTTTGGTATTTAAATAAAAAGAAGAAAGCTCCTGAGACCTAAAGCATAGGATCATTTCTCAGAAAATGAATAATCTCTTTGAGTTAAAACTGAATAAGTATGTAAGGACGTGGCAAGAGAAGAATATTACTAATTTATAAGGCGGATTGATTGTGGAATATCTGAAAAGATATTTCACAGAAAGAATTTTCTTTTCTGTTGTCTTAGATGTCCAGAACTTCTATTATATTGATCACATGTCATTTGGGAGGGTGAAGTGGGGTCTAGCATAGAAGAAGCTTCTGAACCAGTCTCTTTCTGCTACCCACGTTCTTGTAGGGTTAGCCTCATGCTTAACTGCGTTTCAACCAAAGGGGAAATGCTGAAGACTTTCGAAGATGGATGGAAGTGGCCTGATAGAAGCTATGATTAGAACAATAATCAGCTTGATGCTGACATGACTCAAAACCCAGCAGGTTTCAGTCAGTATTCATTATATTCCTTTACTGGTGAGATCATATGTCTCTTTAAGAGTCAGAGTAGAACTCATACACTTGAATACATAGGAATAAGGGAGATCCATGTGGATAGCTGCCCACGCCTATCTCACATGAGGTATTTTGAAACAAAATGGCAAATAGCAAATAGCAAGTAAGGAGTATTAGAAGTAATGAACAAAATGAAGGCTACAGATGATACAGCCTCTTGCTACACAGGATGGAAAAAAGAAAGAGTTCCTCTGTGATCAGAAGCAAACCAAAGGAACTCACTTTTGCTACTATTTGGTGTTCTGAAGGCCATAGCTGGAGCAAATAAACAAGACAAAGAACTAGAAAACATTATAACAGGAAATAAAGGGTGACATTTTCTACTTGTATAAAGCATCATCTATTTATCTAAATATACTGTAGGCATATATGTACATGCACATATGTGCATACATGTATTTATTATGCCATCTATCTGTATATGTGCTTCTGTATGCACTTTCGTGAGATATTGGTACATTTTCAAGAGGATGCTGAAGACTGGAACTGCCTATTGTCTACAGCAGATTATTTTGCAACTTCATCAATCTTTTGATCTCTTTTCCTCAAAAGATATAGTAGTTGGTAGAGAAATTGTGTGGTACTTATTCTTTTTATACACTCAGAGTAAAGTGCTGTATTGATGCTGTGGTTGTTTTGGATTTAACAGATCTATGATTTTATCTGATTTTCAAAACATGTAGAAGTCCACATATGAGAAGAGTCCAGAGAGAGAAGAAACACATCTTATTCTGGTAACTAAAAAATACAGTGGAAAAAGGAGCTAGGGAGAGCGTATTTTCTTCTATTTGCCTGTTTCTACTCATATCAGCTTCCCTCTAGGTAACAGAATGAAAGGGAGGCTCCTAAGACACTAGTAATAGTGTTCCACGTAATGGATAACAGAACTGTAAAGGTAATAACGGCCCCACATACATGAAATTTACATGTGTAAATTTACAAGTTTTCTTTTACATATTTAGAGAAAAATGAGATAACATTGCATTCCAAAATCTTCAAGCTGAGCAACTAAGATAGAAGACCATCATGTTTCAGTGTCTGACAATAATTTTGAAATTTCCCAGTAGCTGAACGGGTTTAGAAAAAAATACAGAAGAGAAAAAAAGTACTGAAGAAGTAGAAATTTTGAGTTTACCAATAAATGAGACAAAAGCTAAAATACATACCAAAAAACTACTTAAAAAATTCTCTAGAAGAGATGATTATAAGCGGTATGGTTTATCTATCTATTTATTTATTTATTTATTTATTAAAATGAAATTATTAAATCTCAGCTTTCCATATTAGCATGTGTGGCTGTGACTCAAAAATCTTAGAAAAACACCAAAATAGAAAACTACCACTAAATTTGTTATTAATAAATATTTATAATTTCTATTAAATTACATACCAATAAAATCATAATTATACTGAATGAGAACAGAATGAGTCTTATGTTTAATTAAAACCACAAAAATTAATAACCATTTACTTTTCTTCTAAATAGACAATACAACAGACAACTATGATATTTAAATCTACATTAATTATGATACTGCCATAGGATAGGAACTCAGATCAATGAACAACCTTAGAAACACACTTTGATACTTACAAAAGGTTAATTAATAATAAAAATATATTGAATATCAATGAAAAAAATAATTATGCCATGATATTGAAAACTTTTTTAAATGGTTAGAAAAGCGACTTTAGTTCTTGTAGAATGCAAAGCATATAATTTTACATTGATGTTAAAATTTTTGCAAAAACCAAAGAAAATACATTAAAAAGTATTTATTCTCTCAGTGGGTGGAGATTACCAAATATAGTTGCCTATATTTAAAACTGAAACTGTCTTAAATTTAAGTTTCTGAAGTCAAAACACAAATGAAAAGGCAATAAATAAACTTAAAAAAAATAGTTATAAATGCTGTAGCCCAGAATTAACATCTAACACATTAGGAGCTCCCAGAGATCAATAAAATAATTTGCAAAATTCTCAACTAAAAAGGTAACAAGAGAGAAGGAGGTGGTACATCATAGGAGTAAACACGTTTGACTTATAAGTGTGTGAAATATGCTAACTAAGAATTGAAGCGATGAATACTAAAGCATTCATATCTACATTAGCAAAGACTTTGTGTATGAGAGTGCATGTGTGCGCATGTGTACATGAATGTGTGTGCATGTGTGCATGTGCATGCCTGTGGGGTTCAGAAGAGAGTATCAGATCCTCTAAAGCTGTAATTACAGGTAGTTATGAGTTGCCCAACATGGATGCTGGGAACTGAACTCGGATCCTCTGGAAGAACAGCAAGTGCTCTTAACCACCGAACTCTCTCTGTCTAGTCACAACAAAGATTTTTAAAGAGTTGGGTGGAAGATTATTTTTCTGAGGAGCCTCCACACTGATGAATCATTTCAAGTGTCTGGATATAGGTTTGACAGAATGATTCAAGAAATAAGAAAAATATTCTTGCCTTTCAACCAAGTATTTCAATTATTTCCATTTTTAGAATCCCTTTCAAGGGATAACCAGAATGGTAGGCAGAATTTTATTAAGATTTTCTTCATGGTAGTGTAATGAAGAAGCAGAAAAAAAATCCCTAAATTTCCTAACAGTAGAGAAATCGTTATGTGAATTACAGTGGACTGTATTCTTTGGGCATGAAAATATTTTTAAAGAGTATTTGATACAATAGACAACATGGTCCAAGTTATGTAAAAGAAAAGAAAGATATACGTAGGAAATACTCTATGGTGTTATTAGAGGCTTTAATTTAAATGTGACATAATAATACATTTTATTTTTCTTCTATTTTCCAACTTGACTACTATGTGCCTACTGTCATTCTATAGAAGCAGAAAATGCTAAAAGTTTCTTTTAAAGAACAACTTAGTCGTCCCTCCCATCCTGATGCAGGGTTTCGTTAGGTCGCAGAGTCATCAAGCATTTTCCTGGGCAGTACTCACCCACCACCTCTGCCACCATAAAGATGAAGCACATTGCAGAAGCAACACAGAGTCTCCACTTGGCATGCACTTGCTTGCTCGCCCTGTTCCCTGTGGCCTTGGAGCTGTTGTGGCAGTGACAGATGCCTCCTGCCTCTGGATGCTCTGCCCTGTCTCCAGGACACTGATCTTTATTCACAGGCTTCTGTCGAAGTTCTCTGTTGAAGATGATTTTGACAGGAGCAAGTAGTGAACATGGTTGCAAACAAACACCTTCCTGGCAGCCCTACCCACTCTCAACGGGGCTCATAGGACATCTGCAAACTGGCAAAGGAGTTGTAATTCAGAGCTTTCTTTACATTTCCTTCTAAAATCATAACTGCTTACAAGCACTACTTTGTTGAGCTAAGAAGGAAAAAAATAGACATTCCTGAGGACAAGTCTTTGTTAATTGCTCCATTATTAAAAAGATTCTAAATATTGTGCTCAGAATCCACCACCATCACCATTGTGGTAGATTGTAAGGTAGGACAAATAGACATCAGTAGGTCACAATGCTTTTCCAGGCTGAGTTCGTGAAGACCCTCAGACACCTGATCACCCATTTGCAACATTTGCAGACAACCAAATACTCACTGTTATGATAAAAGCTGGATTCCACTTATGTGTCCTTAAAGAGTAACTATCAATTCTGTTCCAACACAAGACTTAATTTGTAAATTTTCCATAGGATCATAGCTGGAGAGGCTATTGATAAAAGGTAATCCACCTGCATAGTTTCTTGACTAAGTAAGTTTCAGAGAGATAATGTGATTTTCTGAGGTCAAATAGTCAGAAAAGGACAAGGAAAAACCCATATCAGTGCATCTAAAATCAATTGTTGCTGGTGCAGATGACATTGCCCACGAGTCTTCAACTAATAGGATGCTTTTGAACTCAATAAACTTATTTGAAAACACTAATGAGTCTCTCGGAATTAAGAACTTTGTATTTCTAGCTCTGAAAGTTAAATTTTAGATTAGCTTCTATTTGAAGGTTATCTCATTTGGATTATCACCACCTGGAATTAAAAATCTGAATGTTTGGGCTTTGCTGATAAGTGTTAGGATCACTGTAATTATTGTCATATTTGAATTCTTCTGAAAAATAATATATATGCATATCATTATAAAAAGTTAATATAACAAAAACATACAAAGCAGAGGAAAATCACTGATAATCGTACTTCCAAAAAAAACAATTATTGATGTTTTATTGGATAGTGTTGCAACATATTAAATATAGATTTTTTTATATAATGAGAGTTCATTGGTTAGAATGTTGAGTTGTATGTGCCAAAAACAAAAATTGTATTGAGAAAGTAATGCATGAAAATTGTTGGTTCTGCTACTGCAGACATTTAGAAGCACGGAGACTTCAAGCATTATTTGAGAAGGGTTCCAGTGCCCTTCTCTCCTTCTCAGCTATGCTTTATCCTCAGACTGATTTTCCTCCTATCTTGAAATTGTTGTCCGGGTTTATCAGACTATCTTTGTGGGTTCTCATATGCAGACAGGGAAGTTTATTTGCCATGGTTTGAGCCTGAAAGCCTCCCCTCAGACTCCTCACCATGAGCCAATGTTTCAACTCTTGATCTTTAGCTTCCATAACTGTTTTAAAGGTGTAAAATGTCGGATTTGGCTGCAGAAATGAGCTGTAGGATCACCCTGTGAATTTTATACCTCCCCTTGATTTTGGTCTATTTCTTTTTACTTCCTGGGAAAGCTAAAATAGGAGAGCCCCAGACGCATGTTCCCATCACGACGGACCTACTTTGTCTTGTCATGATAGACTGTCCTCTCCTGAACCATGACCATAGCCAAATCTTTTCTCCTTGAACTTGCTTTTGGTCACAGCAATGAGAATACTAATATAATGTTCTCTTTCAAAATTGACCCAAGAGTCTGGAGGCTAAGCAATGTTATCAAATGAGAACCATCCACTATAACCTGAAGACTGTTTGTGTAGACCTCCTTATATTTAGCTGCCTATACCCAGCTGTGCAGCTTCCTAGAGCTTAGAAGAGAACAAAGTCTACCTCCATTAATTTCCTGAAGTTCAGGCATTGTTTCTATACTATTCATAGTTTTCAGAACAAAAACTTTCCTTTTTTGCTAACTTACACAATTTTAATATTTATATGTTAAGTATCTTGTCAAGAAAAACACTCCTAACCCAAGATTCATTGGTTTATACCTATGTTCCCTTTTATGTTTAACTATTTCATCATAGCATCTACCTTAATGTCTATGATCCATTTTAGTAAAGTTTTTTAGCATGATGTCAGAAATGTATACGTATTAATTCTTCTTCACACAAATGTTTAATTGTCCTAAAAACATTTGTTAAAAACACCTTGTTGAAAGACAATCGACACATTCGGTGAGTATACATATGTTGGTAGTCCATGTCATGAATTTAAGTGTATACTCACTTTTTTCATTTTTTGACTCTTTGATGGTTTCATACATGCACATAATGAATTTCAGGAGCTTTTTACTCTATAATTATCCTCTCTTTTACTTCTCTCTCTACTACTGAAAGCCTTCTTGCCACTCTGTCTTAGTTAGGGTTTCCATTGCTGTAAAGAGACACCATGACCAAGGCAACTCTCATAGAGGAAAACATTTAATTGGGGCTGGGTTACAGTTTCAAAAGTTCAATCCACTATCATCAAGGCAGGAATATGGCAGCAGGCAGGCAGACATGATGCTGGAGGAGCCAAGAGTTCTACATCTTGATCTGAAGGCAGCCAGAAAAAATCTGTATTCCAGAGGCAGCCAGGAAGAGGCTTTTTCCACATTAGGAGGAGCCTGAGCATAGAAACATCAGAGCCCATCCCCACAGTGATACACCTTCTCCAATAAGGTCACACCAACTTTAAGAAGGCCACACCTCCTAATAGTGCTACTCCCTAAGACAAGCATATTCAAACCACCACACACACCCACTTTTATGTCTTCTTTGTGTGTGTGTGAGTTATCTGGATGAACAGATAAATACACTTTAGTGTAATAGTGCTGTGACTATTGTGGGAATGAACAAGTGCTTTCTTTTTATTTTTTTTCAAATTTTCATTTATTTATTTTTTCTTTTATTGAATATTTTATTTATTTACATTTCAAATGTTATACCCTTTCGAGGTCTCCCCTCTGGAACCACCTATCCCATCCCCCCACCCTCTGCCTCTCCACCACCCACCCACCCACCCACTCCCGCCTTCCAATTGCTCTGGCTGCTTTCAACAATGCTCTAAGATATAAATTAGTCCAGAGTTTACATGGTTCAATTAAATTTAGGGCTTCTGTTGGGCTTGACCTGCAAGAAAGTATCGCAGCATGGATAACTTAATAACAGAAATGTATTTTCTCACAGGTCTAGAGTTTAGAATTTCATGGCCAGTGTGCTAGTAAATTATTGTACATTCTCTGATATCCTCACATGGCTTTTCCTCATTGTGCATATAAAGAGAGAGAAAATGAATTCTCCGGCTTATCATATGTAACAACCATTCCTGTAGCCACATTTAAATTTTGTTATATCCCTAAACACCATATTGTTGTTAATAAGCCCACAGTAGGTCTTCAGGTGTCAGCATGTGAATTCGACGAATGGAGAACACAAAGAAAACCTCTCTTCAGGATTGCTGCTGATGCCAGTCTGTGGTTAGCTGCAACTCTAGAAAGAATTTTTACCACCTGTGTTTGTGTTTGTGTGTGTGTGTGTGTGTGTGTGTTTAATCTTGGGCTTTTGCTGCCCAACTTTTAGCTGTTCTTTCTTTCGCTAGTTTATTTCTATCACGAAGCCTCAAGTCCACTCTTCCTTTCTCAACAGAAAAACAAGAAGAATTCTGCTGTTTTCAGCAGCAGCAGCTCTGCTTGGAAATACCCAATCTCTCACTTCTTACTGAGATGCACTGGCTTTTGAGACATGTTGTTTTTCATTTCTGCAGGTGCCCTTAGGACAACTCCAGAGACAATAAAAAACATAAACCTTGCCTGTACCTGTATGCCTGATATATATATATATATATATCCTCTGTGTGGTATGTGCTTGTAATCCCAACACTGGATAAACAGAGACAAAAGGATCTCTCAGACTCACTGGCCAGCCAACCTCACCTACTTATCAAGATCCAGGCTGGTGAAAATGATGGGAAGCACCTGAGGATTGTCTTCCATATGCACATACATCGAGAGAGAGAGAGAGAGAGAGAGAGAGAGAGAGAGACAGAGAGTCAGAGAGGTAAAAAGACCCTCTATCCCTAGTCTTGTTTTCACGGTCCTTCTATAACAATGGAACCATTCTGGAATTAGCACTGCAGAGGAAGGAGAGGGTACACCTAGTACAGTAGCCCTGACAAGGTTCACCTTTGTCCCATAGTGAAATGTGTACAAAGATGACAGCCAGTAATATCTGTCATGTTAAATTTCAGACCTTGAGGCTTGTTATTACCTGCTAAAATAGTAACAGTGATCCTGCTGTGGTCTTGGGCTATGTGATGGCTATAAGCTCTCAGTTTTGTTCTTTTTAGATCCTGAATTATCTCTTAAGCTGGTGCAAGCGTAGAGAACAAGAACAAAGACTCTAGTCAAAGGTCAGCAAAAGACCCCAGGCATGTGAGTGTAAGAAAGAATTTTGAACCTTCTTGTCTAGACACCAGAAGAAAACAGCCCCCTAAGCAAGGCAGAACAAAGGTCATATGCCTCACATTTTCCTCTTAGAATTCTGTGCTATAAGCCACCCACTGTGGGAATAGATTATTATAAAAACAACAGCTATAGGAAACAATCTCTCAATGGAATTAGCCGACAAGTTTGCCTTCAAGAGTAAGTGTCTTTACAGCATATAACAATTTAAACAAGAAGTTAGTAATGGGTCAAAGGAAGCAACCCAGAAGAAAAAGATTATTAAGAAGCAAAGCTCTGAAATGAAAGAAAACGCACAAGTAAGGAGACTGGAAGAGGTGGGGGAGGTTAAGAGATCTGTAAGATACAGATTATCTCAGGAGCAATCAGATTAGGTTCTGAGGTCACACAGAGGGTGGATTCAGGAGAAGGAAAGACACTACACAGACCCACTAGGAGCATGGATCCTCTCAACTTTCAACTCAGCCATCTGGCCTTACAAAGAGGACATTGGGTCCACTCTTTGGCATTCATTTTCTTCTGTGGCAAATGGAGAGATCAGGATTTAAAAAAAAAACTGTTTAACATTTCACTTTTGTGTTTGAAAAGAAAACACTGAATGTTTTCCTGGCTTTTCTAAGCACTATGTCTTGAGAACTATACGTCTGTCACCCTACGCGATGAACAAGATCATTTCGAGAAACTCTTGGCTGTTTGTATTACAGACTTCTAAAAATCTATTTTACTAGGAATTATTGTTATTTCAATAAAATGGAAGTACTCCTAGGGCTAACAACATGTTGTCCAGACTTCATATGAGGCTTTGTTTTCAATATTTATGAAATCAATAACTGACACCTCAAACTTCCTACAGAAATAATTCTTTCAGTATGTGATAATAAATGTCCTTTTTTGTATGCTATTCATTTGTTTTAAAAAATTATAAATAGTCTTTAGGGAAAGTCTTAGCGGTTTTACTATATTTGATATGAACAAATACAACATCGTTGTTTTAGATTATGAATTTAATTCTACAAAATAAATGAAAATATTACATACATTATTACTAAATACATGTTCTCTTAAAATTTCCTCTGCATGAATCCTCTTTAAGTTTTCACTTAGCCACTTGATTCCCACTAGGAGTGATCTCCCTACATATACCAATTCCCTACCCACGCTCTCTTCCACTCAGCTATTTCCCTACCTCCGTTCCCTTACTTTCTATATAGATTTCTCTTAAATCTATTGTGATTCTGTTCTTTTCTTCAGCCCTTACTCTATTTTTTTCTAAAATTTTGCTCTTATCCTCACACCCAGGTAAACATTAGCTTCTCTTAATGTTGTCTCTTAAAATCATTAAATATCTCCAGCACTCTTCTGTATCTGTTCTGTAATCAATTCATTTTTATATGCAATTCATATTAGCCTCTTGGTTTTAAATAAACATATATCTAGGACTAGAAATATTTTCTTTTCCATTAAATATACAGACCCTAAGACAGGACTGTTCAGTCAATAATTGTTTAAAAATGAAAATCAAAGAATATATTACACATGATACTATGGAAGACATTTTAAAAATACAGAAAATATTAAATTCACCTACATTTATTACAGGTATACCTACTAATATAAAGTAAACCATTCATCTTGAGATGAATATAACTCTGGTTTTGAGCCATCATTGGAAAGTATTACTTTTTCCTAAATATAATTTTGACAGTTTACTCTCTAACTTAAAAATGGGAAAATTGAAAAAAAGCAACAGTAAACAATTAGATTGTTCTTGTCTGTTTGCTTTAATGAAAAATCATAGAAGAAAAATTACTTTAATTAATGTTTTCCTTCAGGATTTATGATGTTTAAGGAATCAGAACAAGTATGCAGTCTTCAGTATGTCTCAGGACATGAGTCATAGAAATACTATCATTTTTATCTTACTGACATATAATGCAGACATAAGTATCGTCTTACCTGTCTAGAGTGATGGCGTACATCTTGGTAGCTTGATCATTCACAAGGTAAGTTCTCTCAAGAAACTCCATGGTAGTCATGACAGGAGCTGATACTGTTGTTTTCACTGTCCAGTTTTGGAAGTAAAGAAGCACTAAGATTATTATATTCACACAACTTCCTAGTAAATTAGAAAAAAATTCTTCCAGTACTTGAGTTCACAGGGCTTCCTACATCAGTGTTGTGGGTAGGTCTGTGAAAATTAACAGTCTCCTTGGAAGATCACCTGGGCTCATTCTATTACCCACAGAGACAGCTTTTCTGGGAGACACAAAGGTGGAATCATAATATGAAGTGTGTGTGTGTGTGTGTGTGTGTGTGTGTGTGTGTGTATACACATGAGCATATGTGTGACTCTCTCCGTGCTTTCTAAAGGGTGGAGTTGCTCTGGTAATGCTGATGCAGGACACTTACCTTCAGAGTACACCTGAGTGAACTGCAAATAGCCACCCTCTGTCTTTCTCTACACTAGCCTCATTTTGTCTTCCTTTTTTCGTTTGGTTTCTGCAAACATTTCTCCTGAGATGTAGTTCAGAGATGACCTCTAAGCAGCTGTGAGGATTTTAATTCCCCTCTTCTAGGACCGTTTTGGGATTTCATTCCTGAAGTAGGGAACAAAGGTTACCATTCACTGAAATCTATGATCAGAGAGTATTCTGGATATGGCTTCGTTAAAAGCCATTTATCTAGCTCTTTGCTAGATAAATAACTACCCTCTGAGTGAACTGTATCTACCTTGGCTGGACTGCCCACAGAAGAATGGGGAAGACCTAGCCCAGGCAATACCATCAGGAACATCAATCACAATTAATCAGGGATGGAGCCTTCTAGGTTGCTCACAAAAGAATTTCAAGTCACAAAATTCCAAGGATTGACACACGACTTCATTGCAAACTATGATCCTTTCCACAGATGAGAAGAAACAAGAGCCTGGTCAAGCAATAATCATTTGAATATATACCAAAGATCTATAAAGGTGGAGGAATTTGTGAGGTAGGGAAGGGTGAGCCCATCACTGAACCCTTAGTGCCATCTTCCTTTGCATTTCCTCTGGGGAAAATTCAGAGAGGTTTAGCTCCAGAGTAACCCCCCAGCCTGGTGTCATTAGAGCATGCTATTTTGTCAAACAGAGATCACTCTCAATGTCTGATAGGATCAATGTTACCCTGTATAAAGAGGGTGGTGTGTCAGTGGCACTATGATGGGCTGAAAGAAAGAAGCAACCCTTGTCTGTGGTCTTTTATCACATCGAAGGGGAGCCATACATCCAGCAAACCACAAGACTTCGCAAACTTCCATTTGTAATATAAATGTTAGGAGCTCTGCATAGAACAGTACTGTCTGACTATTAACTTTACTCTGTCAGTGAAGAGTCAATGAAATAGCTTTAGGGAAGCAATCTGTTCTTGTTGGAGAAGCCATGGATCTTGGAAGCTAATGTCAGCAGAATAAAAATCAAAGCATTTTCCTTCTCACATATTCTAAGTTACCTGAGCAAAATATCAAGTTCTTCTATAGAGACAAATTAGACAAAAGCAGAAAACAACTACTAATCCATCTGGGTGACACGGGACCTTACTCTGTTGCACGGATCATTTGTGAACAGTTGTTAGCACATAGAAGAGAAATGGAGTATAGAAGGACAAATGTTGGAAAAACAAAGAAGCAGCTACAAATAAAGCTGAAACACAGTAAGGATGGGAAAGGAAAAACAGCAGAGGACACTAAAGTACAGAAAGGGAAATGTGGGCTGTAGAAGGCAACAGAAGAGAGCATCCTGTGGGCTTGAGACTGTACCATAAACTTTGTCATTAGTCTAGATATGAATTGTAAGGCAGAATTGTAAGTGTTTATGAGTCTGTGAGTACAGAGATCATATACTACCTTGCAATGTGGATTGCTTATGGTTAAGGAAAGAGGTAGTAGATAGTGTTAGCATAAAATAAGGTAAAGCAGAGATGAAAAAAGGGGGCAAAGGCAATCAAAACAAAAAGGATAAGAAAATATGGATTCATTCTATCTCATTATAAATTTAGCTATGTAAAATTACCCTGGTCATAAACTCTGTACTGAAACTTCCTATGTTGGAATTTTATTAAATATGCATAGCTATAAAATATGTATAGACATAGATAATACATTTAAAATTAAAAATGTAATGTCTATATTTATAAAGTATTGAGAAATTAGATATCATTTTCATCAAATATTTATGAATTTGTAAGTGTTATTCTTGAAGATAATTATCGTACACCAAAGAATCTCATGCAAAGAGCATAAGAGCAGAGATTATAGCAAATAAAAGTCCCATGTTAGAAGCAGAAATAGGTTTTGTGACTATAAATTTAGGTGCAGTTAAGTTATGATCAAGAGTAGGCTTTATGTAAGGCTGAGAAGATGGCTCAGTGGCCAGGAGCACTTGCTTTACAAGCAAGAGACTAAAGTCAAAGCCAGGCATGGTTATACTCAGACACCCTAGCATTGGAGGCCAGAGACAGTTGGATCATGGGAGCTCTCTGTTCAGCTAGGCTACCTTCAACGTGAGTATAAGGTTCAGTGACTAGAGTGGAGGGAGTTAAAAGAAAACATATTAGGCCTTCCTCCAGCCTCTGCATGGGTGAGTATATATGTACATGTCTGCACACATACATCATATACATCATGTAGACACAGAAAGAATATTTAAAACTTTTAAATGTCTTATGTTAAATATTTAAAATACTTAAATGTCCATCACCACTTTATAAATTCATTTTCATTGCACTATTATCTTTCTTCCAAATATTTAGTCAGCAGAATGCTTATAAAAAGTTTTGTAGCCTCTCTTGGCTAACGTGTGTCACTTTGCGTGAATTGTCCATCAAGTAGCTTTAATTAGACACTACAGGAGGCATAAGGTATAAATTAAGAAAGCAACTCAGAACAGAAATGCCCTCTTGTTGACAGTTGGTTTTGGTGGGCATTCTGCTGTTCATCTCAGTTTCCTAGGCAACCAGCTTCCCAATCATCTTGAATTACAGGTTGTCCTCTCTGCCCACACTCGATCATAAGCTTACAGCAACTGAAGGGGCAAAATGCAATTTATAACAGTTACTTCTGAGAATAAATATTCTGTCAGCCACAGAATATCACTGACATAACAGCTTCCACTTCCTGGCGCTGGCTGATTCCAGCACCAATTTCCTAATAGAATTTTACAAGGAATAGCTAATCCTCGTACAGAAATCATTCATACAAGGCTTTTTAATGTTTTATTTTCTGGAGTAGAGTAGCGTGTGTGTTGTAACACATACATAGAGGTCAGAAGACAACCATGGGAGTTAACCATTTCTCTCTATCATCTGGGTCTCAGAGATTAAATTCAGATAGTCAGTCTTTGGTAGCATGCAGATTTATGTGTTATACCAATACCAGCATCTTACACATTGTTTTATATTTCATTTATAGAAAATACATTTTTCTATGAAATGCTACCAGGACATTACCAAGACACAACATGACCAAGTTCTCATAGTTCACATTTCCCCAAACAAAATTATACTTCAAAAATATTTGTTGATGCTATTGTTTTTATGTAACTGTCCCCTAAAATGGGATACAAGAGCAAGCTTTTTTCAGACCTTACCTTTAGAATTACATCATTTTTGCTTCTTTGCCACATAGTGGTCAAAAAGAAGGATGAATTAATTTATTACGTGATCTTATAAATTAAAGTGAATCAGCTAGAGTTTTGGTTTCGGCACTTCCATAGATGGGGCCTTGAACAAATTATTTTTTTGTTTTTCTTTTTCTTTCCTTCTCCTTTTTTTCTACAAAATGGGAACATTAATAAAGTTCACCATATAGCTTTCCAAAGCAATAAAGAAAATAGTTTCTAATATAGGTTATAATCAACATATGTTCTCAGTTTAATCTATAGCATGGCACAACATGCTCTAACATGTAACCACACTACTGTGTACTCAGTCACATTCAAGCACAATGTCCCAGTCTTAGCAAAAGGCTGAGAATTACCAAAGAATAAAAGTATCCATGAAGAAAGTCATAGACACTGGAAAGAGCCTGGGGACTTGAAAACATCACAAGTTAACATTTTTGAAGACTCTGAATTCAAGTGTCTCATTTTAGACATCCAAGTCTGTCTCATACTGTCCCTTTTCCAGTACAATGCCATTCCATATAGATTCTCTATTATAGTGTTCTCTTCAACAATAGAGGATAAATTCACAGCCACCTACTGTAGTCACCTTCTGAAGTGTCCAGGCTGCTGTATTTCCACACAGATAAGAATGGCCTTATTTCCAAGTTGAATACCATTTTCATAGTCAAGTTATAGTTATTTCTACCATGAAAGTTTCTCAAAAGTCCTCACTGTAAACATTAAATAAGAACATTGAGATTTTAATTGTCTTATAAACGGCATTTTAAACTTTTATTTTGATCTAAAGTAAACATAAATCATTAACATAAAGTAAACATAACATAAAGTAAACATAAAGTAAACATCAATCATTTCCAATATTTGATATATTGTTGACAAATGGACTGAATAGCATCCAACTTTATTTTCTCCTTGATAAATTAGGGCCGTATAACTTTATCCTTTAACCATTTTCATTTTTAAAGATGTTGAGCATTCAAAACATGTCAGCAGAAGATTCAATTTGAATTTATTGAGAAAAGAAGACCTGATAAAATATTGATACTGAAACAGTAAAAGAAACTCTTTATTCAGTCTCATAGATCCAAATAAATAATAGAAAAATAAACTAGAATGTGTTGTGAAATATTGGGTCTAGGTGGTTGACATTTTTATGTAGAACATATTTCACATTTATTGATTACTCCATATTGGACAGTTGCTGTGGAAATTTGAACTAATTAACCCTTAAAATCACCCTCTAGGTCAGATATGGTTGCTTTTCTGTTACAAATTTCAAAGTAATCATTTTGAGTCTTTCTAATGCCACAAGTACTTATAGCTTTCTCCTTTATTTTCTATATGCAAGTAAGGGGGAGTTTCAAAGACCAACGCTGAGGTTTGGGGGCATTGGAAGACAGTCAAAGATACCTATGCTATACCTATTTCTTGATTGTAAGTTCACAAAACAGTCACTCAAACCTAAAGCTCCAAGCTTCTTAAATTAAAAACCACAGAAATACAACTTTTTCATCCATACCTGGAATGCAGTATTAGAATTCCATGAGTACTGTACATTTTCTTTTTTTCTTTTTCTTTTTATCCTTTAAATTAATTACTTACTTAATTTGTTTGTTTGTTTACATCCAAAACACTGCTTCCTCTCCCCTTTCCCTTCATCACTGAGTGGAG